AATGTGGCTTCATTTGCTAACTGAAGTCTTATCTTTGTGCTAGTCAGTTCATTGTACTGGCTGATCATTGATCTTGCTTCCCACTCTGACTTCAAGGCAGCTGAAAAAGTAGCTAATCAGTACACTGGATTTATCATTTTACTAACCAGGCCAAGATATAGTTTATCTGTATTCATCTGTAATAAAATTAACCTCTAAAATATATGGAGATATTAGGTGTGGCAGTGGCAGGTATTGAAGACAATGGATGTGGCATTTGGCCCTAGACTGACCCATTCCCTCACTGAGGCAACTTTTTGTTTTGCTAGAACCAGGGCCGGCTCTAGGCACCAGCAAAACTAGCTAGTGCTTGGGGCGGCACATTTTTAGGGGCGGCATGGCCGGCGCCAGAATGCCACCCCTGCTGCCCCTAAAAATGTGCCCCAGCCGCCCTAGCTCACCTCCGCTGCTGCTGCCGCTCGCTGCTACTCGCCCTCCCTCCCAGGCTCTCAAACCTGGGAGGGAGGGGGAGATCCTGAGCGGCCACGGCGCGCGAAACAGCTGATTTGCGCGCCGCCGCTCCCCCTCCCTCCCAGGCTTGAGAGCCTGGGAGGGAGGGGGAGACTCCGAGTGACCAAGGCACACGCACCGCTTCTCCCCCTCCCTTCCTCCTAGGCTTGAGAGCCTGGGGGGAGGAGGTGGCGGGGCTGGGGATTTGGGGAAGGGGTGGAGTTGAGGCAGGGCCAGGGGTGGGGGCCCAAAATTGTTTTTGCTTGGGGTGGCGAAAATCCTAGAGCCGGCCCTGGCTAGAACTATCCAGTGCCTGAACTTCACAGATAAAAAGATTTCATCCTGCTCCCATTCAAGTCCAGTCATTAATTTAAACAGAAGCAGGCCTGTAAATATGCTAAACAAATGTACTCAAATAAGTCAGATTCTATAGAGAATGATATTGCCAGTTGACAATAAAAGGATCAATCCTGTAAGCCCATGTCCGTATGAATAGGCCCTTTTCAGTCCATGGGACCTTTCAGAAGAAGAATATATTTTTGCAGAAGTCAGGCCCAAACAAAATAAGAAACTTCTAGTCATACAAGCAGTCCTTGCCCACATGAGCAGTTGTATTGACTTCAGTGGGATTATTTGCATAGAAAATTATTACTTAGGTGAGCAAGGGTTACAGAAGCAGGGCCTCACTTTTTTCTGTATCAGGTAGAACATAGTGATATTGGTGGAATCTAGGTTCATTACTAACAGCTCCCTAGCTCAGCCCTTTCCTGATATTAAGAAAAGCAAAATAGAAGATAAATTAACAGAAAGCAAGACAAAAAAGTGAAAGCCAGGGCCCTGGGGAACTTTGCTATCAACAATGCACTCAACATGTTCAATCAGTTCAGCATTAATCTCTCCAGCTTTTTTCTTATAGGAGTAAGAAAGAAAAAAAAACCCACACAACATGGCCTTTCCTTGTTTTTCTTACCCTTTTTTGTGGTTACATCATTAATACAATATTTGATTTTGAAACCCAGCCCTAAGTTCAGTAGTAACAAATGGACAGATGCCAAAATAGATTAGATGTAATGTATGTTAATAATTTTATATAATGGAGATATCCTATCTCCTAGAACTGGAAGGGACCTTGAAAGGTCATTGAGTCCAGCCCCCTGCCTTCACTAGCAGGACCAAGTACTGATTTTGCCCCAGATCCCTAAGTGGCCCCCTCAACGATTGAACTCACAACCCTGGGTTTAGCAGGCCAATGTTCAAACCACTGAGCTATCCCTCCCCCCCTTTGTATTGTTGTAATACATACTAGGCCGCATGTGCTGGGCACTGTACATACACATAGTAAGAGACAGTCCCTGCCCCAAGAGCTTGCAATCTGAATAGGTAAAACAGACTTGGGTGGGGTAAAAGAGGCAAAGTGACTCGCTTAAGGTCACACAGGAAGTCAATGGCAGCACCTGAAAAAGATTGGTCTCCTGTCTTCCAGCCCTGTCCCCTCCCTGTTAGCTGGAAAGGCAACATGAACTATCCCTACACTCAATTCCTGGTTCAGTCACTGACTTGCTCTGTCAAGTCACTAAACTCGGTGCCTCAATTTCCCCCACTGCAAAATGAAGATAATGATGGAATCCCACCTTTGCAAGTGTTTTGAGGTCTTAGGATAAAAGGTACTTGTAACAGTGCAAGACTCACCACCATGGTGCCTCCTGCTGGTCGCTTCTGGGAATTAGTTCATCCAGCCTCCAGAGTGCCCTCTGCAGGCCAATGTCCCACTGCTGCTTGCCCCCCCCCATGTCCCTCCCAGACCCAGTACCCCCTTATCTGGGGTGCTGCCCCCTGGCCATACACCCCTCAGTCTCAGGGTCTCCCCTCCCCAGGGAACCCACACCCACTATCCCCACCTTGCTTCAGTAGAAGGCTACTGCCAGTCATTGTCTAGCCCCCACACCCTGGGGCAAACTGCAGTATCAGCCTACTCATCACCAGCAAGGTTGGGTTTGGACCTGCTGCCTTTGCCTACCTCAGGCTGTCTTCTCTAACCCCCAGTACCTGTTGGCCTTCTGCTAGGCTGCAGCCTGGGGCTTTCCTAGCTGGAGCTCCCCAGCCCTGCTCCACTCAGGTACTCTGCTCAAGTCCCTACAACCAGGTCCCTCCCTCTCAGAAACTAGAGGAAGTCTATTGCCTGAGTGCCTGACTCACAGCCTTTTTATAGGGCCCGCTGCCGCCTGATTGGGGCGTGGCCCAGCTGTGGCTACTTCCCCAATCAGCCCAGGTTTCCCCCTACCCCAGCCCTCTCCCAGGGCTGTTTTAAGCCCTTCAGGGCAGGAGCGGGGTTACTGCCCCACTACAATGCTATGTGAACATTATTATTAAAATTATTACATAGGATGAACAACATTGCCAAGATGCCACTGAAACTAATTTTTCAATTCTTGACTGATTTTTATCTATGCAGCTTTAAAAAAATTAACAGAGGGGTGGTTGTTCTTTTGCATTTAATAAACAATAGTAATTTGCTAGTCAAGTGTATTTTAGAATGCTAAGATCACAGTTTATTACATCATCTCTGGAGGTTCAGATTAAAAATGCCACCAGATGGTATCTGAATAGTCTGTGCAACAGATACAGAGCCTAGTCAATAGGGCACTGGATGAGGCATCAGAAGACCATGGATGGTTCTGTTCCTGGATCTGCTATGGATCTGCCATGTCACCTTGGGAAAGTCACTCCACCTCTGTCTTGTCTATTCAGATTGTGAACTCTTCGGGGCAGGGACTGCATCTCACTATGTTTGTACGGTGCATAGCACAATACAGTTTGTAGGGACTACTTAAATGCAAATAATAATAATAATAATAATAATGACAATGTATAGTCCTAGCCCAATTAGCTAATCCTTTGGGCCACCAAAGCTCACCCAGAAAGCAGCCCATGGCTCCAGTGGATTCACTTGTTATTTTTAGGCCAACAATAAGTAATCCAAATTTTCAGTGAATTCAAAAATTACCTCAAAGTTTTTTTTTATGCAACTCAGATATAAAACTAGTTACTTTTATTAAAACTGGGTTGACACAAACTATGTATTTTAACAGCCAAATTCTTGTGCCTGGGAAATCACAGGACAGTTGAATAAAGTAACAAGTAAAAGTTGCTTTTCTCAGCATCCAGGATAGATCAGTACCATTCACAGTCATTGACAGTAGGCTTTCTCTGATCAGTTGATTTGTTTGTAAGATACATTATAAAGCCCTGCTGCAGACTTCCGAGAGTGTTATCCCATAAAGGGTTGGAGCCATTCAGTTAGCGTGGCATCAGTTTTGGTCAGGGGGCATGTTGACATCACTAGGCATCACCATCACCCTAGGTAACTCGGGAGGGTGGAAAAATCACAAGTGTCAATGAAGCCTTCCTGCACTAGGCCTAAATGAACCAAACTCCTTCCATGTTTAAACTCTAATCAACCTCAAAAGCCAGGTGCAATTGGAATATGTAAGCAACCAGTTATCTGTGTGCAACCCCCTGCTCAAGCAGTAATAATGAGGCCTGCATGTTCCTGGCTGAAGGGAAAAAGGACAAGATAACGGTTTAAAGAAGTTACTAACAAACTAGGCTTATAGCTGCCAAGAATGACTTAACTGCTTAAATGTAATCGTTATTTGCTTAGTAACTATTACCAGGGATGGGAGGGGTAGAGGGAGGAATGGGGGAGGAGAAAGGGAGGGCTAGAGGAGGAAAGGGGGGGGGGATGAGGCTTAACTGCAAAATGTATAAAAGAAGAAAAAGCTGTTTCTGTTGGTGTGCTTGATTTGAGACATGCCAGTCTCCTTACACCGCTTTGAGATCTCAAATAAACTTTGTTTGCTTCTCCACCTGGTGTGTTTATTGACGCGAAGCACACCGGGCAACGAACCTGCTGTTACTGTCCTCGGGCACTCTGTGCCGGCAACAGGCATGCTCTGGATCTGATCTCAAGGCCCGGTTTTCCAATAAGGCCTCCAAGTCTTCAGGGGACGAATGCTCACACGCCAGTTGTCACCTCGCAGCTGAGAACAATATTAATTAATGTAAACGCTACAACAGCCCTGCCTTGCGCAGCAACCATTGGGTATTTGGGGGATTAATCCCCTGCCCTGCCCCCACCCTGCAGCCCCCCTGTCCTGGCCACCGGGCGGGTCTGTGGGGATCACTGCACTCTGCAGCCCCCACTGCAGAGGACAAAGGAAGGGCCCCTCTGGGGATGACACCGCCCGGACGTGCCTTACTACGCAGCCCCTCTCCTGCATAACCCTGCAGCACCCGCCGGGTTCAGACCCCCCCGCAGCCGGGCGCTGCACCCCCCAGGCCCATGTCCGGCTCTAGCGGGCCGCCACGCGCTCCTAAATCCCCGGTGCAGCCCCGCCCCCTGGTTCTCAGGTGCCTCGCAGCCCTCTCCCCTGCTGCTGCTGGGGGCTGTAGTCCGGCGCAGCGCCCTGGGCGGTGGAACTACATTTCCCGGCATGCCGTGCTCCCCGGGCTGGGAGCGCCGCTGGCTGGCTCAGGCTGCGCGAGGGCGCTGTACCGGCGGCCGCTGTCATGTCCCTGCTGCTGCCGCTGCTGCTGCGTGGGGCTGGGGGCGCCCGGGGCGCGTTGCGCCCATGCTGCCGCGCCGCCTCCCGCCGGGGGCTCAGCTCCTCTTCCGGCGGCTGGGCTGGGGTCCGGCCGGGGCGGCGCTCGCTGCTGGCCGGGCTGGCGGGGGCCGCGGCGGCGCTGGCCGGGCTCGGGCTGGTGCGGCGGGCGGAGATGGTGTCGCGGGAGGCGGCGGCGGAGGAGGAGGACGAGCTGTCCCGGCGCTGCGGGGATTTCATGGCCCCGCCGGTGAGCGGGCTGCGGGAGCTGCGGAGCCGGCGCCAGGACATGCGGAGCCGCATGGAGATGCTGATCATGGAGACCCAGAGCCAGGTGTGCCGCGCCCTGGCCCAGGTGGATCGCGGCGCCGCCTTCACCGTGGACCGGTGGGAGAGGAAAGAAGGTGACGAGCCGCGGGGGCCAGGGAGCGGGGCCGAGGGTGCAGCGCACGGAGTGGGAGCCTGGGGGGTGAGTTTCACGCAGGGTGGGTGGACCGGAGGATCCTTACAGGGTGTTTGTGCCTGGCCGCACGTACTCTCGGTATAACAAAAAGTTGACAGATGGGCGATCAGACCTCAGACCCACGGTGAAGCCTCACCATCCGAAGAAGTGGGCTGTAGTCCACGAAAGCTTATGCTCTAATAAATTTGTAAGTCTCTAAGGTGCCACAAGTACTCCTGTTCTTTTTCCTCACCATGGGTATATCGTGCCGACCGCTAAGATACCGCTACGCTTTCCCAGCTTGTCATGACTAGGGTGGGAAGCAGATCCTGTGGGTGTTAATCATTTGATCGGTCTGGAATAGATCACATCACATTACCACTGGTCAAAGAAAAAGAGGGGTGCCAAAAGGGGGCATGCTCCTGTGCATCATCTGGAGAATGTTGTATCTGATTAACCGTTCCTCTTGCTATTAATCCTTTCCACTTGCCTCTTTCCTTTCCAATATCAGAGCTCTGCTGCACCCTGAAAATAAATAAGTAATTCCTAGGAACAGGTTTTTGTGTCTCTAGCAATTAAACAATCACTTAAAATATGTTGCGTTGAGTAACTCCTGCAAAATAGTACAGTGGTCGGTTGTTGCCAAACAGGGTAGAGCTGTTTGATGTATGGACAGATTCTGTTTTATAATGATACTTTTCTTGCAGATACGACATTTCTGCCTCTACTCTCCAAGGCATAAATTCTGGGCATTACTCACAATCACACAGAGATTCTAAAAAGGAAGATATAAATGGTCACGGCTTGAAAAATTTACTAGACACATACTATGTAGAAAAACAAACCTACTGTACAAAAGAAGGCTAGGCCCTACCAATGAGTCCAGAATAAACGTATTAGTGAGAAGTCTGGCTCTCCCCCAGGCCTCCCCAGCTTCAGGGAAGAGAAGAGTTGCTGGGATTTCTACCAGGATGCTTTCCATGTATCCTGCTTGAGGGTAGGGGTCTATCTTCTATATTTGCCTTTGATTAGTAGGTGTCTGATAAATGTGAAGATCCCTCTTCCTTTAATTGCAAGAAGTTGTTGTTTTCCATCATTTTTCCCCTCTCCAGACCTACCCCTTCTCAATAGCCTCCTGACTGCTGGGGGTAGGAGAGAGGTTTCTTTTGAATCCTCCTTTCTTCCTACTCCCTTTCTCCTGAACAACTCCAGTACTTGCATATGTGGTTGCTCATTGCTTTCCCAAGCAGCAGTGTGAAACTGACATGGTTTGTGACCGTTTTGTTATTCCATTCAGGGTTCTGAATAGCAGCAGAGAAGCTAACTGGTGCCTTCTTATCCAAACACTACTGCTGCTTAGGAAAGTTATGAATAGCGTGTGGAAGCACAGAAGCTGTCTGATAATCAAGTGTAATCTTCCTGAATTATCTCCTTACATTTCACAGATTCTCTTTACAATCATAAGAACTAGATTTTTGTTTTAAATGAAACTAAGTTCTGTATAAGCCCCCATACTTGCCAGGGAATATTTCACTATTATTACTGACAAGTGGGAGAGTGAGAATGGATTTTTCAAGGCTTCTAAATGATTTGGAGCAATCATAGTATTTTAAAATGAGAGGTTTTGATAAAATGTGTCCCTTAATGAGTGACAATGAATGACTGAGAATGAAATGTGGTATTAATTACAGTCTTTGGTTTCACTTTGGAGACGTGGAACTGCTTAAAACAAATTCAGATTCAGAAGAGAGTACTAATGGTACTTAGCTGACCATTTATTCTTGCCACTTATGTAACTTGGGTCATCGGGAGGATTTTTTATGGCGAAAACTCTGCTGCACATCTGAAGTCAAAATCTGCCTTTTTGTTTCTACTTGCAGTTACAAGTGACTCTCTGGTTTATAGTTGTTTCTAGCCAGGTTCTAGTAACTCCAGACTTGTCTGTGTTTCCAGTGACAGAATAAATGGGCTCTCTAGGTACTTCACGCAATCTATGGTCAGCCTGTAAAATTCACTGCTTCAGGAGGTGATTGTCAAATAATAGAGGGGGATTTGTAAAAGAACTAGATAATTTTATCATCATCAACATCATTTGTAGTTATTCAAGGTAAGCAAAGGAGTCAAGATAGCTCTTGGAGATCTAATGGTCACCTATACTCTACTAATCAGTGTTAAGAATTGGCAGGATAAGATGCTTCTGAGATCAAAACTTTCCTGGGGTTGTATTTAACAGGTGGTGGTGGTATCAGTTGTGTGCTCCAGGATGGCAACGTCTTTGAGAAGGCAGGCGTCAATGTTTCTGTAGTTTTTGGGCATCTTTCCGAGGAAGCAGCCCAACAGATGAAAAGCAGAGGGAAAACTCTGAAGACCAAAAATGGTAAAACATGCTACTTAAAATCTAATTGAGTCTACAGTGTTACTGAATTATTGTGTTGGAGACAAATAAACCAGACTTCTCTTATCTATGTTTTTATAAACTGCCTTACCATATTCAAAGAGATCTTGAAGAAGGCCACGTTTCTGATTGAAATTGTTTCTCTTCTCAGTGCTCTACAACTCTTCCTATAGCATGCATGACAGGTTCTAAACATGAACACCCACCTAGGAAGCTTTCAAATCTCCAAAGATTTGAATATCAAAATAAGTGTCATCTCCTGTCTTGTTGCTCTGTCTTGAGGACAAAAGAAGTGCAGCCAAAATTGTTTGAGAAATTACAAAATCCAGATTAAAGAGGAAAGGGTGAAACAGGGTTCTTTGATACGATGACATGTTAAGTTTGCTGGAAGATTTTTTTATTTTATTTTTTTAACTCTTGGCTCCTATTAGCATTGCAGTAACACTAGCGTGTAGTTCAAGTCAAAAACGGATCCAGTAAAAATGCCATAGTATTCCATATTCCGCCTTCATCTCATATTTGTTCATGAATAAAAATCTTGTTCTGTTACGCTGGACACACACACACCCCGTACAAATGTACAATTCAGATTTCTGTTTTTCTTTTGTATATAACTAAAGGGAACTCCTCCCCTCCCCCAAGTAAATTAGAACTTGTTGAGTTGTTTTGTTGCTGAAACAAAAGGCAGAATAGAACCCAGTTTCTCCTGGTCCCCATGCAGTCCTAGTAATACTTCTTTACTCACTGCAATAAGCCAGCATAACTTGGAAGATGCGCCTGAAGCAAGCATGTAAGGACTTACACTGCCATTTTTGGGTCTCTTTTCTGACCATAAATACACTGTAATAAATGACAGCTCACTGTTGAAAACTTGAGCTTGCTTTGCATTTCTCAAATTCCAAATGTTGCTGTTTGTTTGGAGGAGAAAATTGCAAGAGCTGGTATTGTGCTTGTGCACTGCATTTCAGCATTTACTAGATTAGATCCTGATTCTTCAGCTAGCTCCTCTGGTCAGACCCGTTTAGTAGACATGCTGACTTCAATGAGACACCATGCAGAGCCAGTTGCAGAATTGGAGTCCTAGTTTGGAAGCCTTCAGGTTAAAAGGTGTTGCATGTAAATTGTTCCTGTTCTTAACTACTGCTTTTTATGTATGTGCTGCTGTCTAGGTAAATTGCCTTTTTGTGCCATGGGTGTAAGCTCCGTTATCCATCCAAAGAATCCCCATGTTCCAACTATACACTTCAACTACAGATACTTTGAAATTGAGAACGCTGATGGTAAGATTTATAATGGTCTGGGGTGTGTACAAATATGGAGTCAAATTTTAAGGATGGAGCATGACGTAGTGGTTAAAGCACAGGATTACGAACCCTTCTAATTCTGTTTCCAGCTATGCCACAAAATTGTTGTTTAGTATTGAGTAAGTCACTTAAGTACTGAGGTTATTTTAGGGTGACCAGATGTCCTGATTTTATAGGGATACTCCCAATATTTGGGGCTTTGTCTTATATAGGCGCCTATTACCCCCCCACACACACACACCCCCGTCCCGATTTTTCACATTTGTTGTCTGGTCACCCTAGGTTATTTCTAACTTTATTTTAATGAAATTTATCAATCTGACACAAGGAGGAGCCAACACCATGTGACCAATCACCAATGGTCCATGGACCACAATTTGCAAAACCATTTTTTAGAGGAAGTGACTCATTTCCCTGCTATCTTCCTGCTGCAGGGTTAACTTAAACTAATATACTGTAGATGGCTCCTGACTATCATTACAAACCTGAGAGAAAATTTTTGTAAGCCCATTCAGTGTAGTAATTACAAAAGACTAACCTTGTGCAATTGATACCACATGAGAATGGGCAGTAGTCAGGGCAACTGATATAACACTGCACAAACTTTCCTGCTTGGAGGTTAATTTAATAATTATCTGGATTCATGAGTCATTTAAACTAATATTATATGGGTGAAAACTAAGCATTTACAAGTTTCAGAGTGGCAGCCGTGTTAGTCTGTATCCGCAAAAAGAAGAACAGGAGGACTTGTGGCACCTTAGAGACTAACAAATTTATTAGAGCATAAGCTTTCGTGGACTACAGCCCACTTCTTCGGATGCATATGCATCC